TACCCGCACCCCTACCCCCTCCCACCTGCCAAATACCCTATTACTGTAGTACCTATGGGTCTACTTAGGTGCTACTCAGTTAATACCAGTTTGCTGGAGAATATATCTGGTGCTTGTTTTTCCATTCTTGGGATACTTCACTTTAGTATGGGTTCCAGCTCTAACCAGGAAATATAAGATGTGCTATATCACCATTGTTTCTTAGAGCTGAATAGTACTCCATGGTATAACATATACCACATTTTTTAATCCATTCTTGGTTGATGGGCACTTGGCTGTTTCCACAGCCTTGCAATTATGAATTGTGCTGCTATAACATTCGAGTGCAGGTGTCTTTTTTTGTAGAGTGTCACTGGATCATTTGGGTAGATGCCCAGCAATGGGATTGCTGGATCAAATGGTAGATTCACTTGTATCGCTTAAGGTATCTCCATATTGCTTTCCACAAGGTTGAACTGTTTGCAGTACCACCAGCAGTGTAGGAGTGTTCCTCTCTCTCCGCACACGCCAGCATTTATTGTTTGGGAGATTTTTTGATAAAGGCCATTCTCACTGGGGTTAAGTGATATCTCATTGTGGTTTTGTTTTGCATTTCCCTGATGATTAAGATGTTGAGCATTTCTTCATGTTTGTGGCTTCTTTATTTCTTTAGAAAATTTCTGTCGCAAGTCCTTTGCCATTTTAATGGGGTTATTTGATTTTTTCTTCCTAATTTTCGTGAGTTTCTAAGTATATTTAGTTATCAGTCCTTATCGGATGCATGGATGCAAAATTTTCCTCCCATTCTGTAGGTTGTTCTTTTCTTTCATGACTATTTCTTTGGCTGTGCAGAACTTTGTGTTTGATCATGTCTCCATTTATTTATTTTTGTTGCTGCTGTGATTGCCTTTGGGGACTTCTTCATAAATATTTCCAGGCCGATGTCTAGGAGAGTGTTTCCAACTTTTTCCTCTAGAGTTCTAATAGTTTCATACCTTAGGTTTAAGTCTGTTATCCAGCGTGAGTTGAGTTTTGTGAGAGGTGAAAGGTGATGGGTCTGTTTTAGCCTTCTACAGGTGGCTATCCAGTTTTCCCAGCACGCATTATTGAAAGAGGGATTCTTTCGCCCAGCGTATGTTTTTCTCTGCTTTGTCCAAGATAGATGTGTATATGAAGACGGTTTTAGTCGCAGGATCTAAACTTGTTCCACTATCACAGTATTATATTTTGTGTTGCAATACCATTATGTGAATTTTAATTACTCAGCTTTGTAGTATAGTTTGATTCTGGCTTAATGCTCCATGTTTGTTTTTGTTGCTAAGGATCGCTCTTGATGTGCGGTGAGGGTCCTCTTTAGGTTCCAGTACGATAGTGTAAATTTTTTTCTTGTCTGTGAAGAATCGGTCTGATGGGATTTAATAGGTATTGCATTGATCTGTAGTTAGTTTGCGGTAGTATAGCATTTCGTAGTGTTGTTTTCGTAGGAGAGGTGGGAGGGGGTAGGGGTGCGGGTATATACATACATAATGAGTGAGATGTGCACCATCTGGGGGATGGTCATGATGGAGACTCAGACTTTTGGCGGGCGGGGAGGAATTGGGCATTTCTTGAAACCTTAAAATCTGTACCCCCATAATATGCTGAAATAAAAAATAAGTGGGCAAAGGACTTGAACAGAAACTTTTCTAAGGAAGACAGTAAAATTGCCAACAAACATATTAAAAAATGTTCAACATCTGTAATCATCAGGGAAATGCAAATCAAAACTACAATGAGACATCACTTAACTCCAGTGAGAATGGCCTTTATCAAAAAGTCTCCGAACAATAAATGCTGGCGTGGATGCAGATAGAGAGGAACACTCCTACAGTGCTGGTGGGACTGCAAACTAGTTCAACCTCTGTGGAAATAATATGGAGATACCTTAAAGTGATACAAGTGAATCGACCATTTGATCCAGCAATCCCATTGCTGGGCATCTACCCAAATGATCCAGTGACACTCTACAAAAAAGACACTTGCACTCGAATGTTTATAGCAGCACAATTCATAATTGCAAGGCTGTGGAAATAGCCGAAGTGCCCATCAATCCAAGAATGGATTAATAAAATGTGGTATATGTATACCATGGTGTACTATTCAGCTCTAAGAAACAATGGTGACATAGCACATCTTATATTTTCCTGGTTACAGCTGGAACTTATACTATTAAGTGAAGTTTCCCAAAAATGGAAAAACAAGCACCACATATACTCACCAGCAAATTGGTATTAACTGAACAGCACCTAAGTGGACACCTAGGTACTACAGTAATATGGTATTGGGCAAGTGGGAGGGGGGTCGCGGGCGGGTATATACATATATAATGAGTGAGATGTGCACCATCTGGGGGATGGTCATGCTGGAGACTCAGACTTGTTGGGGAACGGGGGGAAATGGGCATTTATTGAAACCTTAAAATCTGTACCCCCATAATATGCCGAAATAAAAAAACAATAGCCTATGGAAAAAAAAAAGGCATCATTAGCAAGTGCCAAAGAATGAATCATCTCTGTGAGGGTCTATAGTTTTCATTAGGCTAGATAGACGACTAGGTATTCAGTCACCCAAGAAGATTTAGTTTTATGGTCCTTTGGGATCATGTTTCTAGATACCTAGGCCCTTTATATATTACCATTTATCCTCACAGTAGACAGCTTCATTTCCATTTACAGTTGGGGAAGTAAAGCTCAGAGAATATAAGTGACTTACACAAGGTCACCTAGCTAGTAAGTGACTAAAATTCATGGTTGTCTGGCCCTGTTTTATTCCTTACACCATGCTGCCTCCTTACCTTATGTATTCTTCAAAAACAAACACAAAAACTAAGAACAACCTTCTCCTTGGCTCCTGTTTTCTCTGTTCTAACATTACTAGACCTCTTGACAGAAGACTCTAAAAGTTTACTCTTGCAACACTGATTTTATTACTACCTCATTTCTGCTTAACCTCCTAACATTTTCTGCTTTCCAAGTATCTCTATCATTCCTTTGGCACTTAGCATATGGTACATTAAAATATTAATTGTATTATAGCAATATCCTAGATCTATAGTAATCATTAGCTCTGGCAATGCCCATGTTTTAGATCTCTCTGTAGCCTGTAGACATCTTGTTATTAGAGTTCTCAATAAAGCACTGGCGTCCAGGAATTGATAAAGCATCAATGAAGAGTGTTGGGGCAATGATTATGTTAGTTTAAGGTTTGGGGAAAAAAACTTAACGTTAGTTTCCATTTTAAAAGTAATATAACCTGGGCTTTCATGCAGTTCTTCCTTGACCACCTAGACACAAACAAACTTATTTCATGGATTATCTTTTATTTGGAAATCATTAAAAAGGTAGAATAAATTCTCATCAATCATGAACAATGTGACAGAGGCTATAGAGAACATGCCCACATACATATACATCAGAAAGACCAACCTTCACCATCCCAAAGGTCTAAAGAGAAAATCATGAGCTATCTGTACACACATTGTGCATTCTTACTGCCCCAAAATGTTTGGTTGAAGAGAATAATTTAATAGCAGTCCTTCTTCCCAGCCATTGCACCTTCCCCCTACCCCATCTCATCTCACAATGTGTCTCTGAGGTCAAGGTTTAGCTACCCACCATCGCCTTTGGGGTTGCTTAGAGCAGTGGGAGGAATGACTGATGAGCGATGACTTCCGAAGCAACATTCCTTGGAAAACCGTCTCCTACAGTCATCATGCACCTGAAACAACAAGAGCAGAGCAGAGAAAAAGCAGGAGGGGGGAGAGAAAAGGATAACATTGATCAGTCTTGTGTTCCCATCCCAAGATTTAGATCCTTAGTATTTAAATCCCCCTTTTTGAGATTTGGTGCCATACACATACCCCTAACTCACCTGAACACCCTCACTTCACCCTGAGCCTGCACTGTCCCTGAGTGTAGCTTCAGAATTCTGATCCTCTCAAGAGTGACTTTCAAAAGATACCTATCTATAGGCACTGAGAAGTCACCAGTCCAGAGGTACAATGTTAGTGGCCTACAGAATGTGTAATTTACTTGCATTCTATATATAATGGGGATCATAAGAGGGTTCATCCTGATAATTTGCAATTACACTTTAATCCTCACAACAACTGTGTGGTAAAGAAGACATTATTGGGTTCACTTTAGAAATGAGGATACCAAACTCAGAGAAGTAAAGGGTGTTGCCCAAGGTCAAACAGCTGGGAAGTGACACAGCTGAGATTTTGCTACCTTTCCCACAAGTGGCCATTCTTCCCGGGATTTCTAACATCTTCAAGCACCACTTCCTGGACAATTACACAGTTTCTAGAGGCCATGAACCTGGCCTTGTTATTCAAAAGCAATTGAAAGTGAGCCAGAGGACAAACAATCTTCTAAGAAGAAACTTATACTTCAGTTTCTTCTTGTCTAGAAAACTCAATTAAGAGAAGCATCCAGAAGCCTAGAACATCTAGATCAGGGTCTCTTAACCTCAACATTATTCATATATTGGGCCAGATAGTTCTTTGTTGTGGGAGGCTATTCTATGCAATGTAAGAAGAATCCCAGGCCTTATACTCAATAGATTTAGCAGAATCCCAGGCCTAATACTCAATAGATTCCAGTAGCACTACCCCCCTCCCCTGAGATGTAACAATAAAAAATGTCTCCAGGCATTGCCAAATATCGCCTGGGGGTGGGGGTGGGGTGCAAAATTATACCCAGTTGAGGACCACTGGTTTAGAGACATGGTAGTGCTATAGCTAAAAGCATGGTCTTTGCAGAATTATGTATGAATCAAAACTCTTTTTCTGACTGGCTGCATGATCTTGGACAAAATTACCTTACTTTTCTGAACCTCACTTTCCTTATCTGTAAAATGGGGATAATGAGGCCTGATTTAGGATTGTTGTAAGGATTAAATGAGATCGTATGTATAAAGCACTCAAAATATAGTTGTAATAATAATGTGTTAATATTATTAACAACTATTAATTAACAAAGATTACAAATTCCTAGGAGATAGTGAATGAGGAAGGGAAAAGGTTTCTTAAAGGTAGACTCAGAACTTATTTTTAAATTGCCCATATTGCCATTAAAGAGTTCAGCTTTTTCCATTTGCTAGTAGGCCTTGCTAATTAAGAACCATTCAAGGAGTCATAAATCTTTCTCTCAAAGCCTCAATAGCCAGATCTGCAGAGGCAGGACACTGAGCTCTATACTATAGAATCTTATAAGAGATTGGGGTTATGTTTTTTTTTTTTTAAAAAGTAAAAAAAAATATAAGAGATCGGGGTTATGGATTCAATATATATATATATATATATACACACTACAGAATATATATATATATATATATTACAGAATATATATATACTACAGAATATATATAATCTATTTTGGGATAAGGGTTTCTGAGATTTCTATCTACGCATATGCATAGTCAAGCTCCAATCCACCCCTTCCCCAGAAGTCAAGTTCTTTATGTATCAAGGAGATGGGAAGAGTCTTACCGTAGAATTACACCACAGACAGCGGAAGTCTTGAAGTCTCTGATAACTGCCACAGCTCTCATGACATACTGTACACTGAGAGCTGACAGGCATGTTTCCTTCTACCCATTGATGGGGCATGGTCTGTTGGAGATGAAAAAGAGACAAGAGGTAGAAGTTAGAGATATAAGGAGAGGAAGGGCCAACTAGAATAATTGTACTACCCTATGGAGGACATTAGGTAAAAACCCCAATTTCTTTACGGTCCTACCCCCCTGCTCCAATGCTACTGACCAGTGACAAGTGGAAGTTGGGGTTTTCATTCTTCCAGATTGGTAGATTGTAAGCCTGGGGAAGAGGCCTACTTTGCATGTCTGGAGACAGGAAGAAGTCTTTCTACCCATGTTTGTCCTGGATGAAGGGGAGATGGGAAAGGGTGACTATGGGAGGGTAGAGCTGGTACTTACTATTTCATCTGCAGGCAGGAGGTCATCAGTGATAGACAATGTATTCCACTTGCAGTCTTTGCTTGCTCTCAAAGCACATAGTCCGTGAGATTTCACTTTGCACACTGTGAGAAGAAGAAGAAAAAGATGTATGTGAATCTGGTGATAATGATTCTAATTTCTTTCCCTAAGTTTCTCTGAAAGTTAGAACCCAGATGCATTCTAAATAGTTTTGATCCACTTCCAAACACCTATTTTCAGTATGATCAAGTTCCTTTTTATTCCTATCGGCAAAACTTTCTAGTATCTGACTGGAATGAAAATTGATGGTAAGAATGAGGTGATTTCTGTCTTTTCAATCCTTGTGACCATATGGTCCCATCCCCCCATACCCAACCCTCTATTTTTATTCACAAGAATAACCCCCCATGCTAGTTTCCTCCCTTCTACTTTCCTCAGTCAGCCTTAACCTCATGCCAGAGTCAATGACCTAGTGTGAGTCAATGATACTAAAGCAAAATGAGTTCCTTCACCCCTATCTTTACTCATGAGCTACACTTCTAAAAGAATCAGAAATGTACCTTCACAGATGATAGAATCTCTAGATAAGGCAGGAATGCTCTCTCGACAAACATTGCAGTGCTGTGTCCGGTGGCTGTAGCTGTAGTACCAATAGTGCATTCCAACAAGGAAAGGGTTGTTTTCTGCTGCAGGTATCTAAAATAAATCATAAAAGAGACAAGGGAGGGTTAATCACAGAGACAGATTAGGGAAGGCCAGAAAATCTGCTGCTAAGGCTAAAATGGCCTGCTATATAGGTGTCAGAGTGTGTGAAGGGGAAGACTGAAAGTTGGAGCCAATACCTGGGATTTTTGTTTTTGCTTTTTTCCTTATTTTGCCAGTGGTTTTAGAAAGGAAAAAGAATATAGGGGCAGATCCTGGAAAAGAACCTGAAGACAGAACAACAGTCTTTATACTGCTTGGCCAACCACTCTATTTGTTTAATCCAAGCAAAATTTGTTCTGTTAACCTTGGCCTTGGTTCTCTTTAAGTAATAAGCAAAAGGAGGTGGTGAGTTGGACATTCAGTGATATCAAAATGCTGTGGCCAGGGAAGGAATGGGGGAGGCAGGGTTCTGACTCTGGGATAAGGAATCTAGTCAGACTTTACTTCCTGGAAATGTGCACTTCCCTTCCTGGCTGCCAGCTGAGAAGAGCATTGCTTTATCTGGACAATAGTTTTATCTCATGGGCTTCTTGCTCAAGTATTTTTTTCTTAATACCACACTCTGACTCCCTATAGCAGTTTTCTGGTTAATAAATTTATTCGATAATTCATTAAACAAGTATTTACTGAGTAACTACTATGTGCTTGGCATTTTTCAAGGCATTTGAGATATAGTGATGAACAAGACAAAGTCTTTGACCTTATGGATTAGCATTCTGCTTGGTGTTCTCTTTCATGGTATTGAACTTGACCTTTTTTGTTAGCATGCATGTGAATGCTGCATTTGCATATCACAGCCTAACTTTCATCACTATATGGAAGGCACAAGGTATACCAGCAACAGTTTGGGGATTGAAAGGAGAAACCCAAATTTGTTCTAGGTGTGCTTTCCACAGGTCCCTTCCACATTTTCTCTAATTCCTGTAAATGTCTGATTTTATCCTTTTCTGCCTTCTTCTGGAGTTTAGACATAGGTATAAACACAGCTTTTTATTCTTGACATTATAATGGGTTGGCTGTGTAAAGGCATGACAAGACTTTAAAGAACACTATATTTTCTCCCTGACATCAGCTGATAGTGGTCCATTAGAGAGCTATTGAGGGCTTTAGCACATTAAGTGTTCAACCTTGATCAGTTTATAGGAATTATCTATCTAAGACACAGCTTGCACACAGCACTATCTGATCCCTTCTTCCCCTTTCTGATATGCTGGCTATGTGCTAAGCTACTGGTGACTTTACCTGGAAGCTTCTAAAAGGAAAAGCTACTTTGATGAGCTAAAAGCTCATGTGTTCTGGGATTGCTTTGTAATTGCAATGTTTATTGTACATTGAGATGCTGGAAAGCTCTAGGAAGATCAGAATAGAAGATGGAGAATTCTGAGGTAGTGACATATCCCTGGCTTTGGCACTCTGAGCTCCCAGCACCTTTCTACTCTCCAAGCCAGTAGATTCTAATTCTACAAGCTTCTTTCTTTCTATCTTTCTTTCTTTCTTTCTTTCTTTCTTTCTTTCTTTCTTTCTTTCTTTCTTTCTTTCTTTCTTTCTTTCTTTCTTTCTCTCAGTCTCCTTATCTCCTCCAATAATTACTAAGAGCCTACTATATGCCACATACCATGTTAGACACTGAAGCTACAAAGATACATAAGCCACAGTTGTTTCCTTCAAGAAGCTCATAGTCTACTGGAGGAGACAAATTATGAAACTGATCATTCCAGTACAGAATGACAAGTGAGCTCTTCGAGCATGTGCAGGGTTCTATATGACTAAGTGGAAGAAATGCAGAATTCTGGTAGGTAAAATATTAAATTTCATGGCCCAATTGCCTATAGAACATAAAGGAATATATAAAATGGACATTACTTAGGTTCAGCAGTTGAGAAGATAGAATTTATATTTGTTGTGTGCATCCTATTCTATAAGAGAACCTTGATGCATCCAACCCTGGATGTGTGGTGGGTTGAATTGTGACCCCTACCTAATATATTGAAATCTTAACCCCTGGTACACATGAATGTGATCTTATTTGGAAATAGGGTCTTTACAGATGTAATCAAGTTAAAATTAGGTCATATTGGATTAGAGTGGGTTCTAATCCAGTCACAGGCATCCTTATAAGAAGAGGGAAATTTGTACACACACACAAAGAGGAGAACACCTTGTGAAGAAACAGAGAAAATGGACATAGGGGAGGATATCGTGTAACAATGGGGGGAGAGATTGGATTGATACATCTGCAAGCCAAGGAATGCCAAGATTTGCCTGAAATCACCAGAAGCTAGGAAGAGACAAAGAGAGATCCTCCCCTAGAGTCTTCAGAGAGAGAGCATGGCCCTGAAGACATTTTTATTTGGGACTTCTAGACTCCAGAATTGTGAGAGAATAAGTTGCTATTGTTTTAATCTACCCAGCTTGTGGTTATTTATTATGCCAGTACTACGAAACTAATACAGATTTTGGTACTAGGAAGTGATGTGTTTCTGTAACAGATACCTAAAAATATTGAAGTGGCTTTGGAATTGTGCAATGGGTAAAGGCTAGAAAAATTTTGAGGCACAAGATAGAAAAAACCTAGATTTGCCTTAAGTTGAATGTTGCTAAAAATATGAACTTTAAAGGTACTTCTGGTGAGGTCTCAGGTAGAAATGAGGAACATGTTATTGGAAGTTGGAGAAAGGTGATAGTTTTTATAAAGCGACAGAGGTGTTGGCTGAATTTTTTCTACTATTGGATGGAAAGTAGAACATGTAAGCAATAAACTTGAATAATTAGTTGAGGAGATTTCCAAAGAAAGTATAGAAGGTGTGGCTTGGTTTCTCTTTGATGTTTATAGTAAAATGTGAAAGAAAAGAGATACATAGAGGAAGGAACTTCTATTAGTCTTCTCAGGCTGCCATAACAAAATATCATAGACTGGATGGCTTAACTAATAGAAATCTATTTTCTCACAGTTAAGAGCTAGGACAGCCAACATCAAGGTGTCAACCAATTCAGTTCCTGGCGAGGGCTCCCTTTCTGGCTTGTAGATGGATACTTTCTCAACGTATGCTCACATGGCCTTTCCTAGGTGTGTGCATCTTTTCCTCTTCTTATAAGGCCACTAATCTTATTGGAATAGGTCCCCACCCTTACAACCTCATTTAACTTCAATTACTTCTTAAAAGTCCTGTCTTCAAATACAGTGACATTGGGAATTAGGACTTCAACATATGGATTTGAATGGAGGGCACACAATTCAGTACATAGCAGAACTATTAAGCAAAAAGTGACCAGAACTTGAAGATTTGGACAATTCTTAGCCTATCCATATTCCAAAACCAAGAAAGTGTGCTCTGGAGAGAATACCAAGGGTGTGGCTGGACAAACTTTTGCTGGAGAGATTAGGTGTGGGACAAATGGATCCAATTAACTATTTCAGTAGAACACTATCAGCTTGGATGGAAGGGTATAGACATAAGACAAAACGAAGGAAGGTTCTCAGACTTGTGAAATTCTACAGACATGAAATAGACTGATAAATACACTCAGCTGTGAACATGTATTATTCTTTGAAAATGGAAGAATGACTTCCAAGGGTGGCTCAGAGGCCAGCAAGGCTGCTGAGAGAGGCTCAGAGGCCAGAAGTGCTACTGTTGCCTCCACAGACCCAAAGAGTGCCAGCAGAGTCACTGCCTCCTTGATTCCAGAGGGTGGCATTGCTTCCTTGGTTTTAGAAGGTGGGGCTACCTCTTTGGTTATTGAGGAGAGTTGCCATTCTAGTGGGCTGAGAGTGTAGGGCCAGAGAACAGAACCTTAAGACACAGAGAATTATTCTCAGGCCTGGAAAACCTAATGGAATTTGCCCTGCTGGGTTGCCAACTTTCTTTAGACAAGTAATCTTTTTATTCTTTACATTTTCTCCCTTTCAGAATGTCAATGGCTATCCTATGCCTGTCCCTACATTGTATATTGGACAGAGATAACTTCCTAGATTCATAGGTCCACAGATGGAGAGGAATTTTGCCCCAGAATGGATCATACACACAGTTTAACTCATATCTAATTTAAATTATTTAGAAAATGATATTTTGACCTTAAGAGTTAATGCTAGAATGGGCTAAGGCTATGGGGAATGTTGAGATGGGGATGAATGTATTTTGTATGTGAAAAGGACATAAATTTGAGGGGACTAGAATTGGAATTTCTAGAGGAATGTTGTGGGGTTGAATTGTGTCACCCCAAAAAATAGGTTGAAATCCTAACGTGTAGTATCTGTGAATGTGACCTTATTTGGAATTGAGGTCTTTGAAGATATAATCAATTTAAGATGAGGTCATACTGGATTAGGATGGACATCAATCTAATGACTGGTATTCTTATAAAAACAGGGAAATTTGAACAAAGATACACACAGAGAGAAGAACACTATGTGAAGATACAGAGTGCAAAGACACAGGGGAGAAGACTGTGCATGAATAGAGGCAGAGATTGTGTCTGTAAGCTAAGGAACACCAAGGATTATCAACAACCCAACCAGGTGCTGTGGCTGACACCTGTAATCCTAGCACTCTGGGAAGCTGAGGCAGGAGGATCATCTGAGCTCAGGAGTTCGACACCAGCCTGAGCAAGAGCAAGACCACATCTCTACTAAAACTAGAAAGAAATTAGCTAGACAACTAAAAATATCTAGAAAAAATTAGCCAGGCATGGTGGCCCATCATGTAGCCAGTTAGCTCGGAGGTGCCACTGAGGCAGATGCTTGAGCCAGGAGTTTGAGGTTGCTAGACTAGGCTATGTCAATGGCACCTAACCTGGGCAACAGAGTGAGACTCTCTCAAAAAAAAAAAAAAAAAACATTACCAACAACCAATTAGAACTAGGAGGAGAAAGAAGACTCCTTAGATTCAAAGAGACATGGCTGCTGACACCTTGATTCAGACTTTACCCCAGACTATGAGAGAATAAATTAATGTTGTTTTAAGTCATAAAGTTTGTGGTGATTTTTTTCAGCC